TGAATTAAGTTAAGTAATCGTCTTTTAGCGATATCGTGGAGGTTTTTTAGACGGTCGAACTTGACCATATCGCTTCCCGGAGCAGAGTTATTCGATGAAAGAAGTGCAATTGAAAATTCCAGTATTGTGAATGGTTCATCCAGAGAACCGTTACTTCGGGCTGTATCCCGTAAAGTTGGTTGTGCTGGAACAGAATCTGGACAAACCTTTTTCGCGAAGTCGAATATCCATTGGGAGGAGTATTCTTCACTCTCATTGGAAGATGAGCGGTTTCGCATATAGCGAGCCTTTTTCCAAAGCGTTGTCATCGAGGTTTCTCTAGAAGTCCCTCTATAAAAGTACGCCAGTAATTTCTTTTCTTTACTTTTAGTAAGTTTTTAAGCTTTTTTTTTCAAGCTGTAGATACTTTTCAAAAAGCTCAGATCTTTCATGTCTACGATAATCTTTAAAGGCATCGGATTTCTCAAGATACAACTTTGTGCATTCGTCATCCCATCCAGAGGTGACGGGTAGACTGCCAATGAATGTATGGGAAAAATTTGACCATCAGATTTCGCTAACAAACCATGTACAAAATGTTTATTGCCTCGAAAAATGACCCTATGCAAAATTTGAGCTCAATCCGACATGATTTAGGGGTGGCGCAAACGCGTCAAAGATTGACTTTTTTTACTTTCGAAAATCTTCCAAAGGGGAACATGAAATTTCGGAAATCAAAATTTTTTTTTTGATGCCAAATACCTTAAAAATGCATGAAACGTCGAGGTTTGGTGTTATCTCGAAATTTTTTTTTTTCAAAAATCGGCTTTTTTTATGAGTTCTATATGGAATATAGAAGATTGATGAGTCGGCTTCTAAAACTGTTCACAACTGTCTTCAACCTGCTTATATATCGAATTAAACCACCATTTAGCATCTAATACGAAATAATTCACTAGGGTGGTCCAATTGTTCTTCATTAGGGTGGTCCAAAAATCAAAATAGGTATGTAAAAACCATTACTTTTTACCAAACGCATGTATCTGAAAATATCATCATGTTGTGTTTTGGAATTTTTAAGAATCCAAACTTCAAAACATTTGATTATGTTACTTTTTAGTATCTGAGACCACGTAAAATAGAAGCATAGACAGACATAAATCGTAGAATAATTCTGAAAACTGTACAGGACAACCGTTAGTGCTGTTTAGTTTACAGTACAATCTGACGAAAGTACAATGACTTTTTAACATATCCACTTAATACGGGACAACCCTTTATATGTGTTTCTTTTAAATTCCTACCCTATAGAGGTGCCAAAAAAGTAAAGCATATTGTTTATCTGGCTTCCTTTTGGGTATTAATTAAAAAACACACACTAACAGTGTTCTCCTACAGGCAAGCAACGGTCTCAAGTACTTATTTCTACGTAAACTTTTCTACCTTGGCTTTTTCTACCAATGCTTTAGTATAAAAAAGGATGCGATCTGAGGGTGTATGATCAATCAGTAGTGCGTTTAAAGAAGACAACAAGCAGAGAACTGATAGTGAATAGTACGACAGTTTGTTAAAAATGGTTGACATTTGGCTAGTTGGAGAATATCTGCCGTCGTTTGGCCATTCTGTTAACTTGCCGACGTATAGTGAAGTTTTTGGTAAATATATGTTTCATTTGCGTGCTGAAAAAAAAGTTGTAAGCTTAGTGCCTTCCTAACAATAAAGGAATTAAAGGATGCTTGGAAAAAAAAAACTTAACACATTAGCATAAAGAAAAAACTGTTGCTATTTTTCAATACCTGCAAAGCCTTATTAGAATGCATACTTAGAATGGTTAAGAAAGACGTCGAAAAAAGGAACACATTTCATGGATCATTGCGGAGTTTGTTTGATATCGGGAAGAAGTTTAAGGCAAAAACCCGTGAAGAAAAGCAGGCGATGCAATATTTGCAAAAACAGCGGGAACAAGCTCATCTTGAAGAAGAAACTGAGGTTCTCCCTACCAATGAAATCATTTCGTGTAGCGATTTTGTGGAAGAAGGGTCAAGCCAAAGACCGGATCAAATTTGTAGTGCAACCTCAATTGAAACATCATCACAAAACGACAGCCAGGCTGGGTCAGTGTACTCGCCTAGTACATCCGAAAGAGCTTCTCCAAAAACAGGTACGTTGTGATGTTTTACTAATGTTTTTTTTTTCTTCTTTTAGATTATACACCTATTACCATCCATATTAATACATTTTGAACGTTCTAGGTTCTCCAAAACCAGCTTTGACACGTAAATCGCAACTGATACGAGTTGTTACAGTTGAGGTAGCTGCTGCATTGGACCGCTGTAAAGTGAGTGATCGAAATGCTGTTTTTCTAATATCGTCGATCGCTAAAGCTTTAGGGCACGATGTTTCATCATTATTGTTGAACAAGGAATCTGTCAGAATCGCCAGAGCCATCAAAGTCCATGTTTATGTCACGACCCCAAATTCATTCCATCATCTCAGTTCTTAGTGTTTTTCAAAAACTGCGGAGCTCTAGGATCAGTTTCATGGATTGAACACTTTTACGGATGTTCCGGATCTTCCGGACGACGGACATCCAGGTTCATGTTTATGTCACAACCCCAAATTCTATCATCACAGTTCTTAATGTTTATTTAAAAAAAACACGGAGCTCTAGGATCAGGATCGTGGATTTACTGCTTTTATGGATGTTTCGGATCTTCCGCTGGACGGTCCGATGGCCATTTGGGTCCATGACCCAAATTTATTCTTATATCACAGATCCTAATGTTAAAAAAAAAAACGTGGGGCTCTAGGATCAGTTTCATGGATTGTCCACTTTTATGGATGTTCTGGATCTTCCGAAGGACGGTCCCACGGCCATCCAGGTACATGTTTATGTTACGGCCCCAATTTTTTTTTTATATCACAGTTCCCAATGTTTTCAAATAACCGCAGAGCTCTAGGATCAGGTTCATGGATTGACCACTTTTACGGATGTTCCGAATTTTTCGAGGCCCGTTCCGTTGTCTCCAGGATCCATATATAGGAACCACGACTGTATTCTGGCTAATTGTGAACATTTGTGCCCATTAATCCAAGTTACAGATCTTGCGCCTCTTGCAAAATCCTACAAACACATCTCTCAAAAAACGTGTAACAATTCTTTTCGCTTTTTAAAAAATTAGACGACTCTATTTTCGATCTTTTTACGATCAAAATTATCTACAAACCCAAGGAATTCTAAAAGTACCACAATTTTTGAAATTCATTAAGAAATGGCTAAGAACTTGCCGTTATACGTTTTTCGGAGGCATCGTATTCGGAGTGTTAACAAATTTATGGTGGTCCTGAAAAGGACCGTTTTGTCGTGATGGTTGAGTAATGCTGAGCTATTAAGGTATTCAACACAGATTAGGATGGCAAGCTGCATGTTGCTTGAAACGGTGACGCACTTGACATAGATGGCCAACAGCGGATCATGACGAGCAACTGAAATCCGATCAGCAACTTATTGCTCCTTCTTGGGCAAATGGACCGCTCAGTGGGCTGCAGCTCGCTCTTGCGGGCAGCCTTTTGTCGTGTACTGGACAACAATCTACAACCACGTGCCGAAAGTACTGCTGCTCCTGATAATGATGACCACTGGACACTACCACTCACAACACGCGGTGAGACCGGAGTGAATTTGATTTTTAAGTCTGTGTTAGGGAAAGCGCTGTTCGCAGTCAATCGGTGATAATTTTCATTATTATAGTAACAGTTGCACATTCGTGTAATTTTCAATAGTGACCTTTTGAAAATTGATAAAATGTTCATTTTAGAAGATTTGTAGATGACATTCCAATCGATTGGCATGTTAAGAATTAATATCCATCCACTATTGACAGAGTTACAAGTGGTCAAAACCTGACCACTTTTCAAAACGCGGTTGATTTTGGTTTTTTGAAATTGAATCTCCAATATGTTGCCAAAAGACGCAACTTACGTTTGTGACATAAATCCACTGCGACCAGTTATTTGATCCTGATCTATTGTGGTACACCTCGCGTCCTTAGTTTAGTGCATATCGTATTACTCCATCATCATTGAGAAATGTTGAAGTATTCGATTTTTTACAGTTGTCATTCTTGCCTTTATCGCAAGGATCCGACTCTAATTGTAAGGCTTCCTGGTAGATATTAATGCCGGTAACGCACCACGGTAATCTACCAAACTCTTCTGGGCTTGAATATTTTTGCCATATAAACATTATTTTTTTTCTACAACTTTGTGTACGACGTCATTCCGACCAGAAAAGCCGTTTTCGTGCTTCTATTTTTTGAAAAATTTCAAGGACCCCATTTTGGAAACTTTACAAGATCTAAAAGGCCCGAATTTTAACAAGAATGTGAATCACTACCCATAACAAACAATTTCACAAAGTTCAATAGAAATTGGAGAAGGTCAAGTCTGATCGAATCGTCGTTTGGCGTGGAACTGGTTACATGTAGATCGATATTTCTGCACCCAGTTAGTTATGATTAAAAAAAAGAAAAAGAAACAAGTAGCCATGAGTAATCACCATGACAGGCTTGTTATCGATATTTAAAATTGAGCTGATTAAACCGATAAATCATTCAATAATCAACTTCTTTATTTACCAAATTTTGACCACCCCAAAAATATGTTTAGTCGACTGGTCAGCAAATGCTTACACTGAAAACGAATTTATCTCGCAGAGTGAGTGACTTTTAGTCATTCGTTGGAAGAAATGTATGAGCTGAATTACTTATAAAAAATATTGCGCAAAAGTCTGTGATTGACAATGACAAAAATCAGCTCTGCTCGCCACTACGAGATTGTGGATTTGCCATGTATTACTATCGTTATCTGAACTCGACGCTGTGGAGCATATTAGTTCATCACAATCCATTTATAAGAACGATGTGACGGTGAAGTCAAGTTAGTCCTTATCAGAGTGAGTGACTTTTAGTCATTCGTTGGAAGAAATGTATGACCTGAATTACTTATAAAAAATATTGCGCAAAAGTCTGTGATTGACAATGACAAAGTTCAGCTCTGCTCGCCAGTACGAGATTGTGAATTTGCCATGTATTGCTATCGTTATCTGAATTCGACGCTGTGGAGCATATTAGTTCATCACAATCCATTTATAAGAGCGATGTGACGGTGAAGTCAAGTTAGTCCTTATCTAGAGTGCTCAGCTGTAAGGTGAAGAACTCAGCGCCTTGAGGTATTTTTGTGGTGCTTAATTCGGTGAAAAAAATTGTACTCAGAAGAATTCAAATAGTGAAACTAACGAAGTGTAAATTGTGTCGCAACTAAGTGTGAGTATCATAATATTTTTTTATGGCCCACCACTAGCCCCCACACCAAAAAGCTCTTTTGAGCCCCCTGGTAGTGCAGTCATCTCAAACTAAAAGTAAGATATTAAAAAAAATAATAATACAATCAAATAAACATATGCTTCATTGGTGTGTGCACGGAAGTGATGAACACTTAAAAAAAAACTAAATAAAGAAGGGAAGTCCAGTGGAACTATGTTCCTTTAAAGGGATCCCAGAAAAACAAAAATAAAAAACTTTTTTTTAGATGGTTACATTTACTATTTAACAACGTTTAAAATAATGTGTTGAATAACATTTATAGAGTGCAATTGTTTTTTTTTTGCGGTTGATACAGATTTAGATTTAGAGACGCATTGATCTGTAGTACTGATTTAAACTGGTTTTGAATAACATTCTGTTGTTGATCAATTTCAATCGCTCTGGCAGTGTGTTATATATAGAAGGGCCGTAAAAACATATTCGCATTTGACCAATACTACTGAAACATCTAGTTCTTACTAAATTATTTGCATATCTCGTGTTGTGACCATGAGAATTAATAGGTAAAATCAAATTATGATACATGTTTGAATTTTTTATTATATCATAAATAAATAAACATGTTTGTAGCTCACACAACCCTCGTATTGGTAAGGCGTTTTGCATGACGTTAGTGTATAGAAGAAGTGTAGAAAGTAGCCGTGATAGTGAATACACAATTTTTAAACATCTGTTTTGCAAAATTTGCAGTTTTTTAAGTTTATATTTGCAGGCACGGCCTCATACAATGATCAGATACTGCAGATGTGAGTGTATGTATCCAGAATAAAATTTAAGGAGTGCACCACGAGGAACAAAATGTCTAACTTGATACATTTAACCACAAAGTGATGAAACTTTACTTTGAATGTGTTCAATATGACTTCTCCAGGAGAGCACAGGATCTAAAACTAGACCAAGATATTTGAGTTTGAACACTTTTTCGACAATTGTCTGTCTAACAGACGGATTCGAGCGTGGATGATATTTTTTCCGTCGAGAGTGGAATAACATGTATTTAGTCTTTACCAAATTTAGAGATAATAAATTTAAATCAAAAAACCTCATGAGAATTCGCAAATCATTGCTAGAAATAAGGGAAGAAGTATCTTGACTTGGGTAGAAGATTGCTGTATCATCAGCGAATAGCCTTGGTATTCCTTTAAGAGACAGATTCCCAAGATCGTTTATATGAATAAGGAATAAAAGAGGGCCAAAATTACTGCCTTGAGGGACACCAATATAAAACGTTTGCAAAGAGCTTCTTGGATCCTCGATAGCTACATCTTGCTGCTTATTAGTTAAATAACTTCGAATAATGTCATTTGCTGCACCTCGTATTCCATAGTATTCTAATTTTTGCAAAAGAATGCTATGGTTCAGAGTATCGAACGTCTTTTTTAGGTCAATGAAGAGGCCACCAACAACGCACTTACTGTCAATTTTACAAGATAGGTACTCTACCAGTTCTACTATGGCTGTAGAAGTGCTATATCCTTTTCTGAAACCGTATTAAAGTTGGTAAAGAATATCATATTGATTCATAAAATTAACTAATCTATTGGTGAACAATTTTTCAAAAATTTTGCTAAAGACAGAAAGACTAGAGATAGGTCGAAAATTACAGGGATCAGACGAGTCACCGGATTTGAATATATGAGTTACCTTTGCTATTTTACATGCAGCTCGTTTATATTTCCTGTCACTTCATTCACATTTGCAGTGTCTCAGAAAGACAGAACGTTCCAATCGAGTAACGTTGTTCAAAGGATTTAAGTTATTTTTCGTTATTTTATTAGCAAGGTTGGTTCCAATTTGGGAAAAGAAATTATTGAAAATTTCACAAACTTCAGAATTTTTAGATATTTTTGAACCATTGTTATTAAGCTCAAAACGAGACACTGGTTTTGAACGTCCCATAATCTCGTTTAAGTTTTTCCACAATTTGGCATGACAAGTACTTTCTAACACATTTTTATAATAATCTATTTTACATCCTTTTTTGGCGTCATCTGTTCTTTTAGACACATGTTTCAACAAATTCTTTAAGTTGTTATTGTGAGGATCTTTTTTTAACTTTTTTTTTTTAAAGATATTTGTGTTTAAGTTTAATCCATTGCCATACGTAATAATTGAGCCAAGGATAATGTTTAGATTTCATTTTGACTTGTTCACTTTTAGTTTTCGTACATTGTGCTAAAATCTGTTGTATGTATTTGTTAAAGTGTTGATTGAATCATTCACATCATCACTGCAAACGAAATCGTTCAAAAAACGAGTGAAAAGATCATTTAGCTTGATTTTGTCAACAATTTTTGTAGTCAAGACAATACATTCTTTAGATCTTTTAATTTTGAGGGAAGAAACTACTAGCAAGTGATCACTCACATCGGTAAAAATAGTATCATATCTTATGCTTCCCAAATCATTATTACTGGATGCAAAATGATCCAAGATGTTTTTACTAATTGGTCGAGTTGCAAATGTATTTGAACAAACATAATCATAGGATTCTAATAGGGTTTTATACCGAACGACAACATTGTTAGTTGATAAATTGATGGGAATATTCATATCACCAACGAAGAAACGAGAACGCGTGTTTTGAACCGACAATATGTTTTCAAATTCATCATAGAACTGGTTAAAATCAAAAGATGGCGGTCTGTATAAACCAACCAATAAAATCAATTTCTCTAAACTTCCAGACGTAGAAATTGAAAACCGCCAGTTGTAACGTCTTTCAACACATTAAAACTCAATCAATCTTTCAAATAAATAGTGATACCACCAGAAGACGTATCACGACAAGAAAATACAGAGTTATATCGTAATATTTTGTATAAAACACAAATATTTGATTTTAGCCACGTTTCGCCAACAACTAACACATCAATTGGGATTTTAATACTATCTAAAAATAGAGGAATACTATCAAACTTTTGCAAACTTTTCATACCTCTTATGTTCTATTGAGCAATTCGGAAATGGCCATCAATGCTTTGAGTATAATTAAAATTAAAATCACTTTTACAATCATGATACACATACAGCCATTCAAGTACGCAAACATTCAAAGAAGACAAAAATTTTGTCAAAAAAAATTTATACAAAATTACAATTCTTCTATTACTTGCTGCTACTATTGATACCGCGCTTACTTTTGGGCGGTGATTTATTACCGTAACGGTTAATCAGTTCATACAAATCATTGCGTGTTTTGATCATTTCCGGCTTAGAGTGTTCATTTTTTTTCACTTAAGGTGATACTCTAAGGAAGTTTTAGTTTGAAACTTTAAAAGCACAAATGTCAGCTTCCACAAAACATACAAATTTGAAATTGCTACTCCTTGTTTGCTGTGCTACTACCAACAGAGAGTAGCAATTTCAAATTTGTATGTTTTGTAGAAGCTGACATTTGCGCCTTTGAAGTTTCACGCTAAGGCTTCCTTAGAGTATCACCTTAAATGTTTCCGCCTCTACTTGCCCATACTTGATGTTGAGTTTTTCTTGGTACTCTCGCATTTCACTCAACGGATTTAATTCGTCGGGCATTGTAATTGTAGTCGGATTACCATTTATCACGTAATTTTCATTAACTGAAGAAGAGAGTAGTTTCCCAAACTCCTTCTTTTTCGCAAAAACATTCTCTTATACATCATTGTCCTTGAAAGTTACGTGAATAGGAATCAACGAGTTCTCAGTTTTATTTTTCCCACTGAGTCTAACAGCTGACATAATCGAATCAGTGCCAATGCTCAAACCATAGCAAGAGATAACATCCCGAACAATTTTTACAGTATCTTCATCAGGAATGAAAGGGACCCCGAGAGCTACAGCGTTGTTATTATTCGCTTGACGAGCACTTTTATCAACTTTGTGTTCCAAATTATGGACGATTTTCGGCATAGCATGTTGCGTGTTCGTGAGCCTATCTATTTTCAGTTATAAATGCTCTTTTTCTTTCTTCAACTCTGAGATTTTTCAATAGCAGTTGTTATCTGCTGTATTTCGCACCTTACACTCTTCATTTACTGGGAGACAGCTTTACAAACTGCTCCCTTAAGTTCAGCGGCTAGCGTATCAACTATTGCAAATTTTTTATTCAGCATTTCAGTGATTCGTTGATAAATACTGGAACAGTTATGCGAGCAGAAATACATCCTGTCTTTTAAACGCCGGGCTGCATTACCAACGAGATTTCGGCATTTGTAGTGCGCCTCAGAGAAGCAGTACATGCAAGTAACCTATTTATTAGCATCTTTCTCAACTTTTTTACATTCGACACATATGCTGTCTTCTTCTTCCATCAGTGCGAGTTTAAAACAAAAACAACAGACCCAAAATCAATCGCTGGTGGTAGCCAAAAATGCACAGCTGCAATAACGAAGCAAACGTTACACACACCAATTCAACAAACTCAATCGACACGAAAGTCGCGTAAAGCTGACTGACAGAGCAATCAAATTATCATGACAAAAGATTTTAATTCGATTTATAATTCAATTTATAATTCAATATTTTTAACAGGTTCAGATCATTGTTGGGTGCCATAGCAGCACACGGAGAAAGAAACCAACTTTTCAAATAAATGTTTACAATGAACACAAAAAATCGAGCTAGTTGATTTTTAGTTTTATCTGGTAAAGCAAATTCATGCCGAAGAATAAACATTTTCAAAGAATAAATGATTTTGGCCATCCACCTTGCATTGTGGAACGCACCAGGAGCTCTTATTTGTAATTTTTCATCGATTTTTCCACCCAAATATAAAATGGCAAGTTGTAGAACCTCTCGGTTATCACCACGGTGGTGTTGCTCTCTAATTTGTTTTTCATAAAACTCCAATAACGCCAATCTTTCTGGTTCCGAAATAGCTATTTTAAAAAAAATCATGAAGTCTTTTCCAAAATGTGCCATGTTGATTGGAATTCCTTAAAAATCTCAACATTTGGAGACTT